TGAGCATGTCCATTATTGTCAGCATTCACTGTACTGCCGAGCAGTGAGTCGTGCGCCACAATTGCCACAATCACCATTAGTATAATTCTCACTCTGTTGTGTATCACATTTGACATTGTTTTCCATACCAAAACATTTTGTTCAGCACAAAGTGCGTTCACAAGTGCTTTTGACTCAGTGATGCCAATTTAGCTTTTATTTTATGCATTGATGTTGACAGAGTTTTGGCTGTCTTTTCTGCTTGTACCATTAAACAATCGATATTTTTACATATATTTTTTTATTTTGAGTATTGACAATTATCAAATTCTATTTTGATAAGGAGTTTTGATATTCAATCACTCAATCGCTTAGTCTATCAACTTATCAATTTTGATTAGTATGTAGCTGTGGCTCAGCTTATCAATGAAATCCTTTATCAAGTCAGTTTACAATTTACATATCAGACTATTATCTCTAGCATTAGTCATTAAATCAGACAAGCAAACATATTAAATGCAACTTGCTTAAGGTAAATAAATATGTAGTTAATCAATCGCTTTATCATCCGTAATTAAGTAATACCATTAGTAATACATAGATACATAGACATAGATAAACATTATTGACAAAGAAAATCTTCACTTAGATTTCCACAATCTTCTAGTTAATTCCATTATTTTAGTTGACCTTTTCTTCAAAGGGAGCTCGTCATTAATCAACTTCATAATCAATAAATAAATACATTTTTATATATAGACGTCTCTAGATATATCGAGGCAAACTTAATTTGTAATTGAGCGTGTGGCACGCATGTTGGGGGCCTTGTGTCGGTGACGCAAACATTTGCCACTGCATTGCCGCAAGTGCAAAGGCAACTTAACGTTCGACCACTGGAAGTGGCCTGGAAGTTGCCTGGAAGTGTCTGAAACGCACTTGGGTGACTCAACGGCCTGTCGCAGTCCATGTTTCAGACAGTCGAATTTTCTACATCGAACGCAGCAGTTGGGCTTAGTCCGAGGACTTCGTCGTCCCCCAGACAAACCAAATACATAATTTAATACAAATTATACTATACTTTTGAGTGCCTGTCTTAGGGCCTCCTGCTCTAGGGATTCAAACTGCGCTTAAGTTTGTTTCCGAGTGACGGCAACGATTTCGTAGTTTTTTAAATGCCACACAAACGCAAAAGACACAAAAACTGAAAGGATTCCGTCGCCCTCGTCAAAAGAAAATAAAATTAGATCCGTGGCGTAGTCGTATTGTGCCTTACCAAGGAGGATTCGTTGTGCCATGACTGTTTCCAATATGCACACCAAATTAATTATATTGATTTTATTTTTCTATAACGGTTCCTACAATTGGAGTAAAAACTTTTAAAGCGACTAAGCTAAAAACGTTCGACCCTCCCCCTTCCTCCACAGGCGGCGACCGTCTGCGTGGAGTGTGTGTGTGCGTGTGTGCGTGCGTGCTTGTGTGTGTGTTTACCAAGTTAGTGCCGTTATTGCCTGTGACTGTGTGCGCGTGTGAAATAAACGGTAAG